CAAGTGAAAGTGAATTGTTAAAGGTAAGAAACAGCGGAGTTTTTGTGTTTATGTAATATTATAATTTAACCGGTTACCCAAATGTTAAAAAGCGGGAGTCTTATCATTGGTAAAACAAAAAAAGAAAGAACAACGTAGAAATGAAAGAAACATTTTATGCTTCACAATCACCTCATTCACTGGGGTTATTTTCATTACAGAACAATTATTTATTACAGAACAATTATTTCCGAGTAGTGTAAAGCAGAAAACGCGGGATAGTTATCAAGCTGATGATGCATTCATTTAGTTATCTATTTCTGATCAATATGATGGAAAATAGAGTTTATAAGTAAGTTAATATTTATAATAAATACAACCTACGGACCTTCAAGAAAAGAGCTTACTCCTTTCTAAAGCGCCGGTAACGCACCTGCAATTCCCCTGGTATTGCAAATACAACAATGCGTTTAAGATGTTGTTTGGGTTGCCGCGTTGCGCGCAAAAACTGCATTTACCCACAGGCTAGTTAGTTAGTTTACGACGGGCTGTTTTCCGCAACTCCACGTCTAAGCGCGTATTTTGCGTGTGGGCAGGAATAATATGCTTATTCGAGCCATGATATCTCCCCGAAGAAGCTCAGCAGTCCCTTGATGTTGCAAGCAACTTCGGGGAGCGATCCCGGCGTGCCGAGATGTTTAGCCCTGTATGAAGCGACTTCTGGGCATGTCAGCAACACGTGAGCCGCCGTTTCTTCCTCTCCCATGCATGCCCTGCACAGGGGGCTGTCAGTAACACCTATGGTGAACAAATGTTTGTTAAAAGGAGCCATGTCCTGTGATAGCACTTGTTACTATCCTGATCTGTGGCTTGTTCAGTCTCATTAGAACCTTGGTTAGACGACTGTTTATTTCAGGTAGGGCCTCCCTAGCTTGTCTACAGTCTACTAAATTTTTCCAAAGCTAAGCGTGTAAATTATTGAAGTATCTACGTACCAGTGAACGAACGTAGCCAAAGGGGATTGGTATTATTGGTTCCGGCCCTATAGTTGCTATGGCCAGTTCATCTGCTGCATCGTTGCCTCTAGATCCACTGTGTCCCTTGATCTATTGCAGAGTCACATTGTTGTGCTTACATACCTCATTCAATCGTTGATGGCACTCGTATATCAGTCCCGAGTTCGTCACATTGCAACTCAGAGCTTGTAGTACCGCCATACTGTCGGTCAGTATTCAGATGGAGAAGTCTTTCACCTTCCTAGCATCTATTGCTATGGCCGCTTGGATGATACCCATGCATTCAGCCTGAAAGACTGTGTTGTGGGTACCCAGCAGTGTGCATACGTGGATATTAAGGTCTTCAGAGAAAGCCCCATACCCCAAACCTTCATTTGTCTTAGAGCCATCCGTGAAAACTTTGAGCTCTCTTGGACCCAATCCTTCCAGATGGTCAGTTTCCTTCAATTGTATCCTGTACTTCTTATCGAATACAAATTGTTTTGGGATCCTGTCATACTTGGCTTGTAAGATAGTAATTTTTGAGTAAATTCTATCGATTATATCTTTATGGGGGACTCTACTATTACTTAAAAGATTTAGGGTCTAGAGTCTAATGGCAGCTAAAGTTGCTTCTTGTTGTATATGTAGATGAAGCGGTGTTAGCTCCAGCATAGCCTCCAAAGCTGCTGTTGGTGTAGTCCTTATGCAGCCCGTGGCAGCCATACAAGCTAATCTCTGGTAACGCTGAAGCTTTTGTATAGTGGTGGCTTCATTGGTTTTGGTCCACTGTACCCGGAGCCGTATGTGATCATGGGCCGAATTACAGTTTTGTACAGCCACAGTATAATTTTTGGCGTTAAACCCCATCGTTTGCCAATCATGTTTCTACATTGCCAGAAAGTTAAACTAGCTTTGCTGATTTTGTTTTCTATGTGTTCGTTCCAGTTAAGTTAACTGTCCAAGGTAAGACCTAGGTATTTTACCTCAGAAGAAAGTTGGAGTTTTGTGCTGAAAATACTTGGAAGATGATAGTTATTCAGCATTCGTTTTTGTGTGAACATTACTATAACCGTTTTATTTATATTAACGGTTAGGTCATATTCCCTGCACCATCTCTCAACAATACGGGGAGCCGCTTGGGTCAGGTCGCACACAATGCTTGCTGTCTTACCAGAAACCAGTATTGTCAGATCATCTGCATAATCGACTGTGTGGAAATGGTTAGCGTTTAATTTGCTGATGAGTTCATTAATGACCATATTCCACAAGAGAGGTGAAAGAACCCCACCCTGCGGGCATCCTTTCATGATCTGAATTGTCTGAGATTCATCAGCAATCTTTATTGTTCGTGTACTGAGCATGTTTACAATCCAGTCAATCAGTGCCGGTTCAATATTATGTCTACTTAGGGCACCTTTTATGCTGGATACCTTTTTCGTGTAGCGGTATACCCACAGGCTAATTAGGCTAGAGCCCGGGAAGCAAGGTCGGAGCGCTGAGTAAATAAGTGATGCTCTTTGCAAGCACCACTTATTTACAGAACAATATTTGGTTTAATATACTCAATAAATAATAGAGTAAGTGTGTTACTGTTTCATTATTGTTGGTATAAAACAAATTTTGAGTATTCAAACATTCAAAGAAAACAAATAAATAAATATATTGTTTACGAATTATTTGGTGTCTTTGCTTTTGATTAGCTGTGATTCAAAGATTTTAAATTGCTCATGATTTCTTCTCTAGCTCTAATTTAATTGTGGTCTCTTGCCAAGCCTGTCCAAGTGAACTTCTGTCAGCCATCTCTGTCATCTCGTCACATGTAGGACGACTCACTGGATCATGCCACATAGGAGAAAGTAGATCTTTCATACTCTATTTTGCTTCCAACACAACTGTCAATGACAGGACACGTCGCCGACCATCCCACGGAGTGAGTTCTACATGACAGATGTGCGGTTTCTGGACGTCAACAAGTCGATTGGACCTAAAGGATTACCTCCTATTTTGATGACCACGACGTGTGCCCCAGAGTTGCCATCGGGTCTAACGCGTCATTTCCGGCACCCGTACTTAATAGGCATAGTCCGGAACTCATGGAAGACAGCTTTAGTGAACCCGATCCCAAAAAAAAGAACCGCTCCGACCCATTTAACTACAGGCCTATCGCGATTTCCTATTTGGTCGCCAAAATCATGGAACTCATCATAAACTGCCAGCTCTTGAGGTATTTTGAGGACCATTAACAGTTTTTTTTATAGAATAAGGGTGACAAATGAGCACACAGTCTACCTGATGGTAAGTGGATGGATGATAAGTGGCCCATAGACATCTACATTTTTAACTTCGATTAAGAATCAAAATGCGGATATGCGTTTTCACCCCTGAGGATTAAGATGGAATACCTCGATTCCTGTAAAATGGGTCTTCGGTCCTCTACACTCACCATACGAAACACAGCAGCATTAGGCTGCTATTTTACGCTGATATTCTGTGAGTGTGGTTCTTCCCCGGTCGAGCCTGCCCATTCGTGCTACAACCATAATATACCTGCAGCGTTACTCTACAACGTTACCGCCAATACAGTTTCGGTTTCGGTTTACGGTTGAATGACGTACAGATCAGCGGTCACATGGAAGTGAAGGCTAAATTTTCGTCTAAAAAGCATGGCGTGCTCAGCAGAGCGGGGTTTCATACCAACACACAGTTTGTAGCACCTAGGGTCTGTAAGTAAAACCGCAGACGGACGGACAGACGGACTGATAGTCATGGAGGTGTTGTTTAATTACTGGAACCATAAAAGGCGCTTGTTTTAAAAAATATTGTCTTGAGTACCCTATTTTGTAGAATATATATCTATGTATAGTATAGTATAATATCTATGGCCTTTAGTTCACGTAAACTGGTCACAACAGCCACTGAGATAGTGAAATTTTAATTGAATAAGGTACTATTTGATAAACATAAAATACATGTTAAAATATAAAACAATATTTATTACATTGAATTTAAATTTACTTTACATGTTATGATGATGCTAACGGTCATAAAAATTTTACAAAAATATTCACTATTCATTAATTTGATCTCAATGATTAAAATTTTATTGGTAAGGAAAGAACAAAATGGGTTATTCCGTTTATACACCCTAGCATGGATACTCGAAAATGAGTGTTCGTTTATCCACCCTGCACGGGGTGGATAGTCCGAATTCACTTCTTGATTGTTGTTCCACCTTTCCACCCCAAGCACAGTTTAACAGAACTTATATTCATAATTTAACATATTATTAATAAATTTTTAATAACCACAAACTAAAAAAAAAAACTCATATTACATATTGCAACTAAACAAAATTAAACTTCCTTGTTTTAAATAATAATAAGTAATTTAAAAATTCTGCAACATGTCCAGGAAATTACCAACACTAATTTCATAATAGAGTAGAAGTAATTGTAGGCATATCCTGTATAAATTTGTCTCTTAATGGAAGACATTTAAAAATTTGTTAAGTACTGTACTATATCCAATACTGTGTTTATACATTAACAAAAAATTATTATAATTAAATTTAATTGTAGAAAAATTTTCCTTTTGTTATAAAATATCTCTAAAATGACGTAAATTATGTCACATCAAATGATATGTAATGAAACAATTAAAAGTATTTCAGTTTTAACCTTTAAACAAGAAGTATGTATGTATTTTAATAAGTATGCAAATATCTACTAAGTAATCTTGGGCCAGTCTCTATCATATTTTTATAAACAACTGTACACAACCAAGGGGGAAAATCAGACAAAAATTTTTTAAGAGGCTTCCGATAATCCATCCAGTCTGGGGTGGATAGCAAACACGCAATTCCGAATACCCACCCTAGGGTGGATTTCTTAGGGTGGATAAACTGAATAACCCAAAAAAATCTTAAACACACAGTTAATAAATATAATTTTAATTTTATTTTACATAAAAAAGAGAGTTTATTATAGTACACTTAATATACATTTTAATAACAAATTAATAATATTAAACTGTTCCAGGTGCAAGCAACTTAACTCCGCGATCAAATAACTTAAAAAGGTACCGAGTTGGTTTCAAATCCATGGAGAACATGTATTCATCTTCAAATTTACGACCTGGATATTTTAATGTCAAGTGGCCTGAAACATCAGCGCTCCAGCCAGATGTGAGATTTTCTACTTCCAAAACCATATGTGCCTTATGGCATAAAAGATTGGATACAACATGAGTAACATCAAGCTCATTAGCTACATTACAGTGAAGGAAAAGTAATGAATTTTTATAGCATCTAACTAAATCAATAATATTGGAACAAATTGTATTTACATCTCTTACATTATATTGCATATTTAATAAATGTGATATGCCATCAATAATAACATTTACCATATTATATTTATGTTGTATTTCTTCCACTTTCTCTTTGATACTCTCAAATATACTATCAAGTGATAAATATTCATTCTTCAGTAGTTTATCTACATACTCATTACCCACATTATAGAATTTTATAAAACCAGCATCCACACCTTTAATAAGGTTATAATTCATCTTTAAGCCTACATTTTGGTAATGCTTAATAGAGTTATGAGTAGAAATTATAAGAACTGCAGATCTATTCTTAACAAAATGCCCTAAAACACAACTTATAATAAAAGAACTATCACAGCCACCAATTTCTTTTACTACGAAAATTTTACTAAATGAATTCTCTTTATCTATTTCCAAAGTCGTTATAATATCGGAAGACATTCTGAAACAAAAACATAATTAAATTATTTTTTCATACTGCTATTATTGTGCGTGAACAGAAATTATGGTTTTAGTATAACGAGAAACGCGATAAGTAACGTAAGGCTATTGCCATTTTCAGAATACATACATACTGTACTCGTAACTTTTAATAAACAGAACTACAGGAGAGCGAGTTCAAGCTCGCGTCCTCACTCTTCAGTGCCCGTTTTACTTGCAAGGTAGTCGGTCTAATATTACATATTACATAACCCTGACCGTCAGTTTTAACTTTTAAAGCAGCATAACTAGAACCACTGATAAAATTTATGTTATTCGCCACTACACTTTGAAGTATACAGTAAGTACCTTATTAATTAGCAAAACATTTCTTTTTCACTGAATTACTCCTTTCAAATAAAATTTATTTCTGCGTATTGTTAATTTTTAAACATAAGTTTGTTATCTAGGTAATACGACAAAAACTAAACGGTAATTATGAAATACGGCGATTACTTCAATATCAAGGTTATTCACTTTAGTGATACCAACCGGCGAATCGACTAAATTCGCCATCCGGAATCCGGAACATACAGGTTAATTTTATCAGACGTCAGATCTGTAATTGTAGTGTTTTGTATTGTTAATGTCAATTGTCATTTGTCAGTCAGTTGTCACCTTGTCCTTTGAGTATAGAATATAATGGAGTAATGATTTCTTATATTTACGCGAACACTACACATTGACATTAACTACTTTTATGGATTTAATCGCGTTTAAATTTACTTTTAATTATTTTTATTTTTAATTCCCGACGTTTTGAGTGCTTTCCAGCACCCATGGTCACGGGGGACTGAGGTGACTGACGTCCCGATGTCGTTGTTAAACTCGGAGTCAATCAATTAGAACCCGCGTAAAAGAACATATAGCTGATGTGAAGCATCAACGTTCTGGGAAGTCTGCAGTTTGTGATCATATCCTAGACGGGCCCAACCATTACATCAGATTTGATAGACCACAAATCCTCGCGAAAGAACACCGATTCCTACCAAGGATGATACGCGAGGCTATTGAAATTAAAAAACATCCTAATTTTAATAGAGAAGGAGGCTGGGTACTACCACTTGCTTGGGACCTTATAATCAATAAAATTAAAACTAAACCCAAGCATACCACTGCAAGACCGCAGGACATAATCAGTTCATTTTGCATAGATCGGACCATAAACAATAATTAAAAAGCTGAAGGTACTCCGAGTTTAACAATGACATCGGGACGTCAGTCACCTCAGTCCCCCGTGACCATGGGTGCTGGAAAGCACCCGAAACGTCGGTAATTAAAAATAAAAATAATTAAAAGTAAAATTAAACGCGATTAAATCCGTAAAAGTAGTTTTAATCAATGAATATTATGGAGGTTAGAGAGAAGGAGGACGATCGCTCTGGAAAATAGTGTCCCAAAAACATGAACAAAATAAGTGAGACGCTGCAATCGCTAAGTTGTCTCAATAAAAGCGGCTTGTTGTGCGCTAGTTTGAAACGATCTATCAACGTTTAACCAGCCGTTCTTTTGTAACTGGGTTGGTTACCTGGAGTCAGCCAGTATCCCAAAAAATAAACTTAATTTTTATAGTAATAGTTTAGAGTATAAAGAAATAAAAATCACATATATTAATTAAAGGAATGTTTATTTATAGTTGCTTTAACCCTTAAAACAGCAAATAAGCTTTTTGGCGTGTTTCTTTGTAGGAATCTATAGCAAAAATTATTAAATATAAAAAATGAATCAACAAAAACTTTTCTTGTACCAAAACTAAATTATCATAAAGTAGATAGCTATATGAGATAAAAAAACTTGTAACTTATAATAAAAAAATACAAAGAAACCATAGGTTGAAAGTTACAATAATTAGTATGCTAACAATGCTGATGTACATTTTATGGGAATCTATAATAAAAATTATTAGAGATTAAAATAATATAAAAAAATACTTTTTCTTACTAACTTAAATCTTCATTAATTAAATAATTATATGTGATCATAAAACTTATAAATAGTAAAAAAACACGCTGACTGTTACAATAAGTATGTTCAGATACAATCTTCATAAATATTTTTGCAATGCCTAGAGATTTTTTTGCACTTGTAGCACAGTGCAAAATATTTTCTGTCCATTCAGCGAGGCCAGTGCACACATCGTCTCTTCTTTGGTTGCGGTTCTTCTTCATCTTCCTCTATTTCTTGAACTTGAGTTGATACAATGCGCATTATTGTGTTAGATCCTATCACCATTACAACACACACAATACCCATACTACATAACTACCATTTCTTAATTTTCTGTGCATCACGTACTGTGAAATATGCAAGTGAGACAACTTCAGTATCAATTTCGTGCCCACTTATTTGAGGCTCTATTTCATCACACCTTCTTCATCATCTTCCCAACCAATTACATCTTCATCTAACTCTTCTTCCAACCAGTTCCTAATATGTTCCTCTGGTGACAAACCTATTTTGTACTTCTAATAAAAGTTACATTTTTATAACATCGTTGGTCGCGTGGGGTCAACTGACGCCCGTGCATGAAAAATACGTTCATAGCGTTCAATTGCACGGCGCAAGCTTAAAGGTAATTCGTTTGTATCGCGTACTTAGTCATTATATGAAGGTAGCTAGAAAAAAGAAAATAAAGAAATTATTATTATTTATTTATTTTATTTATTTTATTTATTATTATTATTAATTTTGAGAATTTACTAACTTGCAAATCTTGTAATTAACCTTAATTTCAACAATTCCTTAAAATGACGACTCCGTGGCGCAGTGGCTTAGCAATGAGTGGTTGCGCTGGGGGTGACGGGTTTGAATCCCGCACGGAACAAGTATTTGTATGGCCTAAAGTAGTTGTTCTGGGTCTGGATTTTCTTCCTTGTGCAATTTATTTTTGTAAACTGCCCCCACAATACAAGAGAAAATCTTAGTGTAACGTTTAAAAAAAAAGAAAAAAAGTTCAATAATGGTTATGTAATTTAGTAAAAAAATAGACCATGATTAATTAAGCAAATAATGATTTTACATATTCAATATTTCAATGTGCAGCTATAAATTGATAACGTATGAATATATAACTTTTGTTACTTTAAATAACGATGATTGACGCAAAAATTTTTTCAGTCTATTTTTCACATCCACGTACAATACAATATTTCACCATTTTTAATGTTTATTTTTGTAAAAAAATAAAAAATTATGGAGCAGGATTATTTTCTGACCACTGCCGCGAAGAAAATTTGTAAATTACTCAAATAACTTCACCTACTTGTACTCCTAAACAGCTAACTTCGCAGATACCACTTACCGACGGCATTTCAGGGACCGGAGGGCTATGCTTTAGCACGTAGCGATCGTTCTCCTACTCTCTAACCTCCATGGTATAGACCGTTGACAGAGATAGCATTGCTATCTCGATCTAGTTCAGTGTAGTCTTTTGCCTGCACGGTCATTTTAAAGATCGCTTCGTACTAGTTCATTCTATTAGTTCTATTAGCTCTATTCGGTCATCAGTACTATTAAGTAGTTTAAGCAGTATAGATCTGTATTTATATGGAATGGCTATCTCAGTCGGTCGATATCTGCTCGAGTTATCATGTTTACTCGTACACACACACTTATTAACCCTTAATGCACCACCCTGAGTCCACGGGACTCACCACCGCTTTTAAACAACAAAAAAATAGTTTATTTTTTAGAGTTTAGACTTGCGCTTTCTAGTACCTCCCTGCGGTGAGGTGCAGGACGCAGAGGTGAGCGGTCGCATGCTCACGTCGTTCGGAAGGGTAAATATGATCGAGTGTGAGTCCTAGGGACTCATGGTGGAGTGTTGTGTGACAAAAATGGATCTACTGACTTTTTTGTTTATCTATGTTAATTTTGTTGTACCTTTTTACTATGACATCTAAACGTAGAAGGATTGAATCGGTATACATTGCAAATAATTTAGCCTCAGATATCATAAATGAATGTTTTTTTTTTCATAAAAAAAGGGGGCAAACGAGCATACGGTTCACCTGATGTTAAGTGACTACCGCCGCCCGTGAAAATCCGCACCACCAGAGGATTTGCAGGTGCGTTGCCGGAGTAAGCTCTTTTCTTTTCTTGAATGAGGCTGCAAGAAGATGATTTACTGGGCGAAGATGAGGAGATTGGTGATGGTAGCGGCTATGCAGCTGAATGTATTCGTGAGCCACATTCTGATAACGAGGACGCCGATTATGTTGTGAGTGATCACGACACCAATTCGGAATGCTCCGAGACTGAAGAACTCCCGTTCTTCTTAACTTCTGTACTATTCTTAGTAACTTGGACAACATACCATGCCTTAGAATGTCTAAGGCATGGTATGTTGTCCTTGGTTGATCAGGAATGTCCAGATCAACCAAGTACAACGCAAAAAGATGATAATTTACCGAGAGATCGGCGCAAATATTGCTACACTTGCAATCATAAGAAAGACTGCTTATCTTTGCACTGTCTGTAAGAAGCCAATCTGCCTTACTTGTTCCAAAAGTATATGCCAAGAATGTGTAAAATATTAGTATGTTAACTTAGGTACTGCACGTTTTGAAATTCTGTATAGTGCCATTATTAATTATTATTATTTTTAATTACCTCATAACGTCTTTTATAAGAAAACATATTTTATTTTGTCCAAGAGCTACAACATTTATTTTTTCTTCTGTAAGTCGTAACTGACGATTTTTGATGACTGTTAATTTTAAAGTATTTGCAAACTGCATATTAATTTGAGTTTATCACAAAATGTTACCGGATATGTACGAGTGTTTGCTAGAAGTCTAATAAATAACAACATAAATAACATCTTTCGTTCAGTTTTTATTTAAAAATTTAAAACATGAGTCCCAGGGACTCATGGTGGCGATAAGTGATATTTTAATTGCGGTGGTAAATCAAGGGTTAATTTCTTGGTCAAATTATAAGTCTAAAGCAAATTAGTGTTGAAAAAATAATTACGATTAGTGAAATAAAATCCCATATACATAGCATGCGAACATAAAAAGCGTCCAAAGACGAAACGAATTTTAAAACAATAATAAAAAACACAAAATACTCCTCAATAGTTGTTATAGTTATAACATAACTTCAACTTTTTAATTTTTTACGCGATCGCAAGTGCTGAAACGAAGTCTGGGAAATGTTTATTTGTGTCTATTTATTAGTTATAATAAGTACGATAATTTGCGAACACAACGAGTCTTGCATCTTTTCGAATGATAAGCTAAAGTAGATTATCATTCGAAAAGTTCGTTATTGCATTGTTTTATCTTACGTCTATTCTTTAACGTCTTACCGATTCCTAAGATTCCTTACCGAAAAGACCTATTAGACCGATTAACAATCAGCGTTCAGAAACGTTTCTTCTAGAACAGTGCTATTTCCTATTCGTTCATCGTCCGCGAACACAGAAGACTAGTTCATAACAATATGGAGATGGTCGGCGTCAATCACTAGTATATATCATATATAGTGTGACCATATGTGGCAGATTCCTGCCATTTTGGCAGTATCGGTTACTTATTTTAGCCTTTGGCATGATCGGTTGTCGTTTTATAAAACCTGACAGTATTTGGCAGTATTGGGGTATTAAAAATAGGTTTCACTATGGCAAGTCAAAATGCCTAAAGTGGCAGCCGTAGATACCTAGCCAGCATGTCGGGGAATTCCCTGTACTTCTCGTATTATGTTTGTATCACATTCAATAAACAATTTTGAAAGTTTATATGTAAAGTTTATAATCATGAAACAAATATTCATAAACACGAGTTTATGGTAAATATTTCAATCAGTCATAGAAGAGACACTTAAAATACGTATGTATTGCAAATTTCGCAAAGATACTAATTGTATGCTTACTAAAGAAAGAAAGAATATTCTCTCAAATCTCTCAAATAAATTTAACTAAGACAAAAACACGAAGCAGATTTATAAAGATCATGTAGCGTTTATCTTGCACGTTAAACAAGACATTGGTGGGCATGGCGATTGTATTGTATTCAAATCAACGAAAGAAATGATAAATCGATTGAATAAATCCATACAATTACAAAATCTTTATTTGCATGAAACACAGTTGACAGGGTCTTAAGTTAAATATCTATAATGTACATGTGCTTCGTCTGCTCGCAGACGTGCAAATATTTATAACAAAAAGTATATATAAGTTAAGCACATAAGTCATTAAACTAATTTTTCCATCCTAAATATTCTTTTAGGCTATAGAAACAATTTTCCAATAACCATTTCGTTAAATTATTTTTGAAAGAGGCTCCTTCTTTCTCTTTTAAATTCATGGGTAATATGTTATATAACAATATGCTCGTGTTATATACATTTCTCTTATACATATCTTTATTACAGATATGTATGTATGTTCATGTATAAAGATGAAAGAAAAAGAAGAATATGATGCTAACTGCAGTGTTTAATTTTAATTTAATAAAAATATAGCATTTTAAATGTGTATTTTTACTTTTCTTAGTTTAATACAATGGTAAATAAAGTTGGAAATATTTAGGCATATTTCACTACAGCTTTTGGCAGTTTTCGGCAGGTTTTTAACCAAAGTGAGGCAGGATCTGTATTTTTAAGATGGTCACACTGATCATATATACAGTAATCTATCCGGTCCGGTAGACCCACGGGTGGTAATCTCTAAACAAATATTCCTAGCCTTATGTCTATGGCCCTCAAAAATCGATGTTGACAGCTATTGACTACAAATGTAAAATGTATAAATATGTAGCTACGGATTTAGATTGACGTTTGTTTTGACGTTTCTGTCCACACCCTACCATGTGTCGCGGCATGCGCCGCGGCCATTACGCGACGACATAAAGTGTAAAAAATTCAAAGGTTATGTACAAGAACATAAATAAATACAGTAATCTATGTAGTATGTACAAGAACTTACATAATAATAAGTTGCATGTGTGCTACTTTTTATTATATATGTGTTATGGAGTGAAGACCGCGTCTAGGCGTAGTGTGGGACGCCTCCTGACCAGATGGAGCGACGATCTGGGCAAGGTGGCTGATAAAAACTGAATGCGTGTAGCCGAAGATCGGGCTAAGTGGCGCGCCTTGTAAGAGGCCTATTTCCAGCAGTGGACTGCTGCTGATGATGATGATGTGTGCTACCGACACTTTGAGTTGCGATTTGTTATCCAGAATAAATCTGGTATTCACCAGGATCTAAGATCAAAGTAACCAGGATGCATATCTCACGTTGTTTACAGAAGCTGAGATCACGACCGGTCAGTAATTTTTCTATTTATTTTTTCTTAATTCATTATTCCTATAAATATACATCCTATGAAAGCCTGCTGCTGACTGCAGGCATCCTCCATAGATTGCCACTTAGGGAAGATTTTGTCATAGTTGGCGCAAGATAGTGTATATGCCTTGGTTTTCAAACTTGGCAGGCGAGTTGATTACAAGATCTTGACAATGGTAGGCCCTACTTTTAAACATAACATTCTCACTACTATCATTATACGTATTTGATATTTTCATATTTGTTCTCAAGAACATAAATCACCTCTCAAAAGTAAAAATGTATCAAATGTCAAAATAAGAGTTCTAGCAAATATTGACTAGGGAAGCTGTAGACTATATTGTATACAATACAAGATATTAACAGTTACATCTTTATACATATTAGAATCATGAAAATTAGTAAGAAAATGCTAAGATAGGTATATTTCAAAAAGCTAGTGACGATAATATACATAGATGTAATATACAACTTACGAAGAGAAATGTATCAATATTGCCTAAAACCACTTTATTTTTATACAGTTCTGGACCATATTCCATGGCAGTTAAACTATATAACACATTACTCAAAGATATAATAGAAATAGACGAATATAAGAAGTTTGTGATAGCACTAAATAGCTTTTTGATTAAGAAATGTTACTATAAATTAGATGAATATTATGTTAAGTTAAAGTAAATAAATAAATATAGTAATGGAATATACACTAAATATTATAATAATACAAATATTAGTTAATACTATGCTCTAATGCCTTAACTCTAATGAGTTAAGGCATTAGAGCTAGCTAGCTTGATTTCATATTGTTATACTTTTGCTGGGTGCATGTGCTGTAATTTATCATACAAAACCACATGTAAATGCAATAAATAAATAAATAAATAAAAGACAACCACTATTTCAATACACACCACAGAGACAAACTATACCTACCACCATCAAGAATTAAAATGCTAAACCAGAGTCGCTACTACATGGCTGTAAAAACACAACATTTACAATAAATTACATATCCACATAAAAACTGAAAATAAGATTACACTATTCATTAAAAAACTAAAAGCATTATTATTATTTAATTGAAAAATGTTTCTACTCAATCAAAGAATACATTGAAGCACTAGTAACAAAACACAAATAACAAATTACATATTTTTAACACAAATAAAATACATAAAAAAGGAAAAGCCGTTTTGATACACAGTAATAATTTATATTATTGATCATTAATCTAATTTCTCTATAATGTTTGTATTTAATAATTTATTTTATCTATACTTTCTCAAATTTGCAATGCCTAAATAAAGACAAATTGTTTTTATTATAAGACCATTTATGTACACTTCGTTGGCAAATAAAAGTTGATTGATTGATTGACAAACATCATGTGTTGTAGTCATATACCACATGAAGCTTTATTATGGTGGTAGTATGTATCAACTCGACTAGGGTAGAATCACACTCATTAAATGCCCACGTAAAATAGCAGCTTAATTCTGCTGTGTTTTGTATGATAAGTGTAGACCATCAAATTAGTTCAGTCAAAACAGGTGCATTTCTGACAGTTGACTTAACATCTGACGAAGAATACAAATACATGTTGAATCAACCTGTTATAATGGTCATAGGTGTTATGGGTGCTGCAAAGCAGTGAAAATATAGGAAGTTAAAAGTAAGAAATTTAAATGGGATAACATCTGTATAAGTTTTATAAAAACTTGTTTTGCTTTTAGTGGTTTTGTTTCCTTTTATTCTACTGTTAACGAAACTTACTTCATCATCATCATTACAGCTCTTAATAAGTCCATAGCTGAACATTAGCCTCCCCCAAGCAATACCACAAAGCACAGTCCTGAGCCACCAGCATCTATCGACTTCCTGTATATCTTCACAGATTGTCACTCCATCTAGTGGGGGGCTGCCCTACACTTTGGCTACCGGCACAAGGCTGACTCTTGAGAACCTTTCTTCTCTATTGGTTGTCGGTTCCTCGAGCTATATTGACGGTCCATTGCCACTTCAGATTATTAATCCGCTATGTTATGTAAAAATATAGCCGTATCTAATATCTAAACTGGCGACAAAAAAAGTAGAATGTGAATGCTAATCTGCCAAGTACAATAGTAGATTGTTTACAAGCTGATGTCAAACAATTGAACTATTTTATTAATTCAATTGTAATTCTCATTTGTTTGTGTTAGATTTTGTTTTATGAATAACTTATATGTGACCATTGAAAACTTAACCCTTAGTGACTGATTGTATCTAAAAAGAACCTTTGCAATACTCACACAATCTTAAATAAAATGCTACTATGTTTTATCAACTCATTATTACTTTTTTTTAATTTTATTTTTGTTGCAGGTTGAAAACTGCCTAGGAGTACTCGGCTATTAAATAGATATTGCTGCATATTTGGTAAATGGGGGAGCAACAAGCACAAACCATAAATACTACAAGGAGAAAAATTTGAGAAAAGTTGTTACATCATTTGAATTGAATATGTGACCTATGTGCAAAGAACCATCAGTTCCCCCCGATAAAAAAATTAGATTGTAATTATAAAGGTTTCAATGGCTGTGGCAATATTTAAAAGAAATTGATGTTTTGCGCCTAGAAGGAAAGAATTTGCTTGCACTTGTAAATTTACACTGAAATGTAAAAATAAAAGACTTAATAAATATTTCTGTATTTTATTTCTTTATATCTAAATAAACGTTAATAGCGGTTTAAACTTATGTACGTGGTCACGTTGTGAACACGTACATAAGTTTAAACCAATAAAAATAAATTTTCAAAGTTCTAAGGGGATTTTTTACAGCCACTGGCCACTAGGCTGAAACAAATAAATACCTTTGCCTTAGATAAATTTAAAAACGTAAATGTCACTTTCAATGTTTGAGGCTGCTATAGACCAATTTTTTAGTATGGAAGATTGTCGTCTGTACGTTAGTACTCTTATTAGTTTGTGGGTAGACCAGACAGTTCTCTGTCTACGAATCTATCTATGGTCAAGGTCAATCAGTAATTAAAAAATTTAAAATGACACCACGTTATCTGTATTATCACCAAAGTAATGAAAATAGCCCCATACTAAAGGCTAAATCTAGATAGCTGTTTTAAATCAATAATAGTTTTAAAATTAATTTATTCACAGCATTATGAATAAAGTAAAAGAAATAAGGGTGTCACAATGGTACTTCGGTGGACTAGCATCAGCTGGTGCAGCATGCGTTACACATCCACTAGATTTACTAAAAGTACAGATGCAAACTCAAAAAGGAAAAAACATCTCGATGTTTAAACTTACCGGAATTGTTCTAACAAACCAAGGTGGGTATTGATAAGCACATTTTAGAGTATATTATTATATTCAGTATATTTATGAGGTTCAGGGAAGGTCTGTTTAAAATCTTCAATTTATTTTAAGAGGGAAGATAGATCTGAACCCAAACCCATGTAGGTATTTAAATGGGAGTAGCGAAATCCTGTCGTTTTTGAGAAAAAATATTTTGGTAAGGATTTCGTAGTATTCTGCTGTCTGAATACGTATGAAATAGGATTGGTCGTTACAAATGTAACCAGTTATTGAAACTATCCATACAACTGCGGTTAGCAGGTTATTGTTGGTCTGACAAAAACACTAGACATTTTGATCGGTAACATAATTCAAAAAGAGCGATCAGAATTAAATATAACAAATCGTATATTTGGCTGTTTTTGATACACATCTTAAACGGCTTTGGCTATTGAAGTACCACCAGTCCTCGAATGTCGAGTGAACATGGATGACACATTTTGTCTCACACCCACCTACACATACATTGCTTTTGCATTTGATGATTTTCGGATAGATGCGATTACAAATGAGAAAGTAGGTTTGCATATTTAAAAAAAAATATTTTCGAATTTGCATGGCCTCTTAACAAGTCTTAATTCATCTTGTGCTTGATGACACGGTTTGTTTTAGGTACTAATATAGCAGATTTCGTTGCAACAATAATAATATTTATATGTACTATTATTTATTAAAAATTTTTATTTAATTAAGTAATAATTGTTACTTAATTATCTCATCACCAGCTAATCCTTAGCCTGGATAGAGCATGAAGGAAATTTCATTGCAATATTTTTTTTAACACTAAATTCTCAAAAAAAGTAATCTTAACGAAATGGAAACACCAAACAAGCTAATCAAGCTTTCTTGTGAAATGACCATTGTTTCATTCACGAAATTTTAAATTAAACACATTGTGAAACACTCTGTTGAAGCTGCTATTAAACTAGAGTGTTTAAAAAGCCACTATTGGTATTCTATATATAGTTTTGTTTCGTTACTCAAAAATGCCGCTACAACCCACTGCTTGTATAAAAGTTTTGTTTAAGCAAGTTATGTTGATTAAATATTCGTTTTTGTACTTTGCAGTTAAAATAACTAATTTTGTATTTATAATGATTTCTTATATTTACGCAAACACTACACATTGAAATAATACTAGTTTTTACGGAATTTATCGCGTATATTTAACTTTTTAAATACCCGACGTTTCGAACGCTTTACAGCACTTATGGTCCCGCCCGTGACTAAATTCCGTAAAAACTAGTATTATTTTAATTTTGTATTGGTTTTAAAATATATGTTTACAGTTCAAAAAGTATTGCCTAACAAAAAGTAGGTTTGACCAAAAAAGTTTATGCTAAAGTAGTTTTGACTGAAATATATTGGCTAAAAAAGACTAACTTATGTGCCAAAAAAATTGAGTTTGGCTAGTAACTAAGAGCTTTTGACTGCAGATTTGCTCAAAACACAGCTTAGAGGGGAATTAAAAAAAATGCGTTTTTGAAGGAGGGTTACGACAAGAGGTGCTTCTTCCCCTTACTCCCTTCTATTTCCAAAAATTTGTAATAAAATGCTTAAAATTGGCACAAAGCCCACAGTGGGATAGCTCTGCAAACCCTTCTCCAGAAATAGTTTAGGTTAACCACCTTTTATTATTAAAATGGGAGGGGCAGGGGAAGGGAGGTAGGACTAAACCCCTACTTTCTCTGAAAAGTACCACTTCACAAACTTTGTGCCAATTTGAAGCATATTATTATTTTTTTAATAAAACAATGCAATTACATCTATTATAATTTTTGTGTTTTGTTGACACATTTTAATTTCCACAATTTTTGAAACACATATTATAAATGGAGATAATGTTATCATATAACATGAAACATTTAAAAATCTGTAGATCACATCAATTACCTTCAATGCTAATGGATTGATTGGTAGAGAATTCCATATTAAGGCATTAAGTCTGCCCTTTATATCTCTTATTATTACATAATCTATATCGAATGTAATTTTTTATTCTGAGACATTAAATAAATTAATACTATAAACATAAACATCTGATGGAATTCAATCAACATTTTATATTTTTTGTTCATATAATTTTTCTCGTTTTTAAAGCTGATTTAACTATCTGTCTTAACCAATTAGATTGAGTCATTATAAAAACATCTTCATAACATCTAATGAAATATTCGGTGATTTGTTAAGAGCTTATTCTGTAATGTTTATTTTCTTCTTAGATCATTCATCATTTAATCTATTTTATTTTAATTTTAATAGGAATAATGGGACTTTATAATGGTATATCAGCATCGCTTCTAAGACAACTTACTTATTCTACGGCAAGGTTTGGCATATATGAAATGGCAAAACAGCAATTAGCTCCAAAAGATGTAAGTTTCACTTTCAAGTATATTTATTTTAATATTTAATTATACATCATTCATATTTTTAACTAATGAAAATCTAATCTCTGTAATCTATTGATAAATGTACATTTCAAAGTAATTTTTTTAATAATTTTTTTTATAATAATAAATAAGATTTTAAGTTGTTTTCTATCTTAAAATAAATATTTAATTAATGTCTTTCAGGGCAAGCCAATACCATTTTTCATGTCCGCATTTTTAGCTGGCTTGGGTGGATTTGCTGGTGGTTTTGTAGGAAATCCTGCAGATTTAGTCAATGTTCGAATGCAGAATGATATGAAGCTTCCTCCTGAACAAAGAAGGAAGTAAGTTCTTTTACATATTTTATCCAATTAGAAATAAAATAAATAATTAAAAAAATCAAAAATCTGACTGGTGGGACCCAACTGCAAATTATAAACCGAAAGAAAATTAAAGGGTTCTGCTTGCTACTAAACTTAAAGCGGATATTTAACTTAGGCTTTCAGCTTATAATATAGTTGTTTACCTTGTTTTTAATTTATTTTAATTAATTTAATTTAGTTTAGTTTACAACGGGCTGTTTTCCGCAACTCCATGTCTAAGCGCATATTTTGCGTGTGGGCAGGAATAATGTCATTATTCAAGCCATGAAATCTCCCCGAACAAGTTCAACAGTCATTTGTTGTTGCACGCAACTTGGGGGAGCGATCCTGGCGTGCCGAGATGTATAGCCCTGTATGAAGCGACCTCCGGACATGTCAGCAACACGTGAGCCGCCGCTTCTTCCTCTCCCATGCATGCCCTGCACAGGGGGCTGTCAGTAACACCTATGGTAAACAAATGTTTGTTAAAAGAGCCATGTCCTGTGATAGCACTTGTTACTATCCTGATCTGTGGCTTGTTCAGTCTCATTAGAACCTTGGTTAGGCGACTGTTTATTTCAGGCAGGGGCTCCCTAGCTTGTCTAGTCTACAAAATTTTTCCAAACTTGAGCATGTAAATTATTGAATTTTAATTTTGTTTTCTATTCTCAATCTTGTTCGATCTTTTTAATGCATTATTTTTAAATTGTATTTTTTTCAGTCAGGTTTCCAATTTTTTTAATTATTTATTTTATTTTAGACTTTTTAGTGTCTCACAAACTTTTAAACCAATTTATTATTCATTCATATAACTTTTAAAATAATTTTGTAATCCCCTTTTAATTTTCTTTATTTTGATACCCTACTCGATAGGTTTGGTAATTTTTTTATTTACGTATTATTTCGCGCCAAAAATCCCACTTTTTTTTTCAAACAACTCAACAACAACAGTTGGGTTTTTAAGACGAATATAACAATAACTTAACTGTCGAAATCCATCCATCTGTTTGGTAGATATGAGGTAATAAAGAAATTTACAAACACATTCATACAAGATACACGCGAAAAACGTAACCCTTCCTTGGCAGTCGGTAATAAGATGAATAATAAAAGGCTAATCACCATTACAGCCTATTCAAGTTCATTGCTGAAAATAGTCCTCTCTCATAAATTGCATGAGAAGGTGATATTTGCCTTAGTTTCCAAGCTTGGCAAGCGGGTTGGCAACCACAGCTTGTTATTTTTTGTCGTACAAACCAAAGACTTAAGTACTACTG